CATGGCTGGTGAGGTGAGTGTGCAGGGATGGGGTGCGGGGGGATGGTGTTAGCTGACAGTCCGAACGGCTTAGGGGAAGAAGCTGTTTGTGAGTCTGGAGGTGTGGGACCTGAGTGACTACCGAAGGGCAACCGGTCAAACAGGTGGTGGGTGGGGTGCAGGGGTTACCTGTGATGGTCCTGGCTTTCCTGAGACAGGAGGACCTGGTGATGGTGTACAGGGGTGGCAGAGGGCAGCCATAATCTGGATTATATTACCCAACATAGGTTCAGGTTAGGAGCTCTGTTTAAGACGTAATCCTTAAGTTAATATTCCATAATGCCACTCTGAATAGATGAGTTTTTTTTTTTTTAAAGCAGCTTGTCTACAGTGTTCAGAACTGCCTAAATGTTCCTCCAGAGGCAGATCTATTTATACCGGTTGTTTGATTTTGGCCACAGTCAGACAAGTATTGTTTTTGGAAAGTCTCCAGAGAACTCAGCCCTTTCACAGAAAGACAAAGACATGTTGTGATCAAGGTTTGCTCTTTTTATTGTTTTCTCTCGTAGTCAAACAAGTTATCCACAATGTTCTTTTTCTGTTTTAAAAATATTTAATATTAAAACATTTCTCTTAATCTTTTGGGTTATTTCTGGGTGCTATTAGCAGATTTCTGGTATAACTTATATTTTAGCAGGAAACTACTAATGATGTCTCACAGTGAAGTAGTTACAGGATGAATTTAGCCTCATTTGGTTACTGTGGCATTACCCTAACCCTCATTTTCTTATCTTCCAGATATGCCAGCTGACGACAAGGTTGCCATCCTGACAGATGATGAGGAGGAGCAGAAGAGGAAGTATGTCCTCGCTGAGCCATTCAACACCCTCTCCATGGCCCAGCAAGAGGCTGTCACAGCGCCACCAGGACCCAGCTCTGACATGGCACATGATCAGGCGGCAGCGGTGGCGGCCTCGCAGCCAAATTCCATGGACTGCTGCGAGAGGACGTGCCTCCGCATCAACAGCCACCTCCTCATCTCCAAAGTCTTCTATTTCTTTTTCTATGCCGCCTACGGCTCGCTGCACCCCCTGCTGGCCGTGTATTACAAGCAGCTCGGCATGTCAGCCAGCCGCAGCGGGCTGCTCGTCGGCATCCGCTACTTCATTGAATTTTGCAGCGCCCCCTTCTGGGGTGTAGTGGCGGACCGTTTCAAGAAAGGAAAAGTCGTGCTGCTGTTTTCCGTTCTGTGCTGGTTAATGTTCAACTGCGGCATCGGGTTTGTCAAACCTGCAGAAATGATATGTGAGGAAAAGGGAGCTTCTCTCACCACGCCGCTTCCGCCCGCGGTAACGGTCCAGCCTCAGGAGAACGTAACACAACCAAGCAACTCCACCAACCACACCAGAAGTCGGCGAAACGTACTGGAGCTGCATGTGGAGCATTCCCACGTGCTCCACAGGCTAGAACGTAGTGTGGATGCCAACATAACCACAACATACTCTCCATTTAATTTACTAAACACCACCCAGCTTGTACCAAACACCACTCTGCAGACCACCACCAGTTCTGCTCCAGCACCTGAGAAAGAGTACCAGATCATCTACAACAGGGACCAGGTGGAGTCCATCTTCCTGCTCATCCTGCTTGTCATCATCGTGGGCGAGTTCTTCAGCGCTCCCGCCGTCACCATCGTGGACACGGTGACCCTGCAGTATCTCGGTAAAGCCCGCGACCGCTACGGCCTGCAGAGGATGTGGGGCTCTCTGGGTTGGGGTCTGGCAATGCTGCTGGTGGGCATCTGGATTGACCACACTCATATCACCGTGGCGATCGAAGGCACTGGTTGCGCTGTGCCCGATTTTCGCCTTCACAACTACCAGCTCGCCTTCATTGTCTTTGGTGTTCTGATGGGTGTGGCGTTGATTGTGGCCACTCAGTTTTACTTTGAGAAAGGCGGTGAATACCAGCAGGAAGTTCCAGAGGTGGTGGAGGACTCGGCGAACACTGACAGGGAGTCAGTCGCTTCAGACCAGACCCCCAGCAACCCCGACACCACCCAGGAGTTCCACTACAGTGACCTCCTCAAGCTGTTGTGCAGCGTGCGCTACAGCTCCGTCCTCTTCGTCGCCTGGTTCATGGGCTTTGGCTACGGCTTCGTCTT